ATCTTGTTGAAGTTCAAGAAGTTACTGATATGGACCGTCCCGCTCCTGTACACCAGCCTGGCAGCAAGTCACACTGATGCCAATGGGACATAATTGAAGTGGAGGTGTTCAGGAAGGGAACTGAAAGCCTTTTGGGAGACTCTCTGAGAGCTGCCCGTACTTAGAACTGGTGGAAACAAACCATGAGCTATGAATCTGCTAGTGCCCAGCAGAACATTAACAGCATAGTAAGAACATTAACGGCATAATCAGACATAGCTCAGCTAGTTCATCTGTTTCCAAAACAGGCAACTAAGTCTGTATCTCCTTTACATAAACCAGATGCCAAGCCCTGGATGAAAGACGTGGAACCCTTACTCTGAAACAGTGTTCCCTCTAAGCTAGAGATGTAAAATTTCCTGAAATTTTGAAGCTTGGAAAACCCTCTGTTTTTTTCCAGGGTTTTTTTTTTTTTTTGAGAAAAACTGAAATTTTTGGAAAAATTGAAAAAAGATGCTACATTATCATTTCTTTGGTCTTTTCTAGATTGAAAGTCATTCTGTTACCTTAGGAACATAAAATATGACTATGGACATTTTTACTTGGCATGAAATTATCACAACTAGCATATTAAAAATTTTGGGGAATTTCACATTACCCGTCTTCTCCCGGTTTCAAGCCGGGAGTCTTCCGTTTCCAGATGAACCGGTACAGGGCTGCCGTTTCACACACGGCTTGCCCCTACCGGAAAGGAGCCGATTCACAAGCGGTTCGGCGTTTCACACACGCACCGCTTTGTTTCCCCACGGGTTTTTTTTTTTTAAAGTCCGTCTTATAGCGATATATCGATATACCAGTATTCCAATGTATTCCAATGGGATCGGTATAGCGTTATATCGATATATCGATATAAGCCGAACGTTCAAAAAAAAAAAAAAAAAGCCTGCGCGGCCGAAAAAAGGCGGGAAAGAACCGTATAGGAACCGGGAGAGGGAACGGGAGACTCCTCGGAAGCGGTTGACAGGTAAATCGCTTCCCTCCCGGTTCCTATACGGAACAGAGACTTTTGAGTGTGAAATGGCAGTCAGATCCCGGTAGGGAACCGATTCTCAACCGGGTTCTGTCTGAAATGACAGACCAGCACCCGGTTGAGAATCGGTTCCCTACAGGGAGAAAGTGCCTGTCTGAAATTCCCCATAGTGTATCCAAACAATTATTACAAACAGAATACCCACCCACATGCAAATACAAAACTGAAACCTTTTTATTTTCTTCTGACAATAGCACCTCCTAAAGGAAGAAATGCATCTTGTTCTTGCATTGGAGAGTTCAGTTTGTAACCTAGGACTTGCTTGTCCTCAGTGCACAGAAATTAGATCAATCTGATACCATATATATATATTTTAGAAAAGATTTGGAAAATATTTGAACACCTTGTCTTAAAATATTTCCATAATCAATTTTCTTTTTTCAATTTTTCGGGAAAAAACAAAAAAGGCTTCAGGAAAACCCCCGGAAAAAACCCGTTTCCCCCCAGAATTTTTCCGGTTTTTTTCCGGGCTTTCACATCTCTACTCTAAGCTGAGTTAGTGTGAGGTAGCTCACACTTCTTTAGCCTCCGGCTCACAGATTTTTGTCTCAGCTCAGGAAGGATGGCTCCAGAGCAAACTGGTTTATGCAATAGCCAAATTGCTCGCTCAAAACTTTAATGCCAGTAGCTCACAAAGTAGAATTTTTGCTCACAAGACTCCACAGCTTAGAGGGAGCATTGCTCTGATAGTGAATTTCAGAAGCATGGGGGATAAAAACTCCCAAGGTAGCCATACAATACAAGGATGACTTAAGAACCAAGAAGCCATGACTATGAAGAGTTTAGGCTTCTGCTTGCTTAGCTAGTTCTGAATAAACGCTTTCAAGGTTCTCTGTAAACATGAGGACCAGATACATTAAGAAGTTGGCATCTGGAAGATTTTAAATGAGAAAATCTCAGCATCTCACAGAGGTCCTTTGGGGGCTCCAAGGCAGCACACAAAATTATTGGGCTTAAAGAATTTGGAAAGGCAGCAAAATAAACGTAACAGAATACAGAGTGGGATTGTAAAATTCCGAGTGTCAGGCAAACAAGATTTTCCTAGCTTCCTGGGCAAAAAGGAATCTGAATGGCCACTTGGATTTGTGAAACAGGGCCATGTGCATAAGTTTCCTTAAGATTTATAATTACACACCTATAGTTGGGGAAACACACATATCCCCCTAAAATATGAAGGCAATATATAACTTTTATAAATAAAAATACAATAAAAGGAGGTGGGGGAAACACTTAAAACAGTGTCACACAATATAAATAAAGCAGTCCTTGATGAGATTCTACCACTATAACAGTTCAGACTCTTTCCTAGCCTCCAAATATGACACACTCAGTTTAGAATTTAAAGGCTCATGTTACCTGCCTGGGGTCTCTTGAATTAAACCGGCTCCACAGAACTGAAACGATGCCAGAATTCCTTGAATCCCCACATCAAAAAGTATTTGGACATTTTTGTTCTCTTAAAAGGCATCTATATTTATGTCCAAACCAGCCAGGACAGTGCACCCACCAGGGTCATACTAACTTACAGGACTGATTCTTCCTTCTACAGCTACTAAAACATAATTCTTTTGAAGTCTCAATACATTATCAGTTCAGTGTGGAGACAGATGGCAGAGACTGTCAATTAACCAAAGCATGCCTTGCACCAATTAGTTTCCTACTGGAGAATATCCTTGCATAGTAACCCAGAAAAATGCATTGCAAATTCTCATTAGGGAGCCTTATTTATAAAATTATATAATATACATCATATATTATATAAAATATATCACAAACACTATATACACACATACAGCATTTGACATTTGCTGCAGCAGTTATAAAAATACAAAGCTCGTTTTTATCTCTCTCACACACACAAACACACACACACAAGCCTTGCTCAGTGTGGTACATTGCACCTGCGGGCATCTCCTCC